TTCTGTTATTATAGACAAATTTACATTTTTTACAACTTCATATAAATAAAACCACACAATATATACTCTTTGTTTTCTAGTTTTTTTTTTTTATATCCAGATAAACTATTTAGAGATTTATCTATGCAGTTGCATGTATCAACTGCTCATTTCTTTTTTTGGTGACTACTATTCCATATGGTATAACATAAATTGTTTATCCATTTACCTGATGATGGACCTATTTTTTAGCTTCTTCTATTACAAATCAAACTGCTATGAGCTTTCAATTACAAGTCTTTGTGTGAATGTTTGTTTTCATTTTTCACACCGAAGAGCTGGAATGGCTGGATCATGTAGCAGGGATATGTTTAACATTTAAGAAATGTTCTATAAAACGGCACTACCATTTTACTTTCCTTTTTGTGGTTATAGGAGTTCTAATTCTTCCACATTCTCACCAAAACTGGATATAGTTAGTCTTTTTAATTTTAGCCAATTAAATTTAGTCATTTAATAAGAAATTTGTGGCAGTATTATTGGATAAACTATCACTGCCCAACGTTCAAGGTCTTGAATACCATTGCTCCTTATATCTTCATATATATATTTTTTGTTTGTTTTGTTTTACCTCAAAAGGTAATCTGATTATAAATTTCTAACTTGAGCAGGTCATGGTGGGTAGTCATGCTCTGGGTACAGAACATGACTTTTAAGTGAAAAGTTTTAAACAAGCCTTGCCCATTGTCCTGGTGCAGCTAATATACCTTTAAAGTTAATACACCTTTAAAATGCCAGAAGTAACACCCCTCAAAGGCATAACCATCCTGAAGAGAGCACATCATTGTGATAACTATCCTGTAATCCAATCCCTGCCTTGATTCCCCCACTTTCACGTAATCTTCCCTAATTCCTTCCTAATTCCAAGTGCATTCTTAAAAAAACTGCAAACTGTAATCTTGGAAACATTTGAAATCTTGCCTCCCAGCAACTGACTCAGTTTTGAGTCAAATAAAAATTCTCAGCAGGCTTGGACATTTCTTATGTTGACACTGCACCCTTTATGACTTTATTGCTTGTGCTATCTATGAACCTTTCCTGGTATTGCCTTGTTATCTGATTTCTTTCTGCCAGCTACTATTCTTATTTTTTCACATTTCCTGTTCTGGAATCTGTTCTATCCTGGCACTTAAAGTAACCATCAAAAAACTGCAAGGAAAGAAAAATAACCTCATTCCTTGAGTTTATTATTTCTGTAAACAATAACTGCACTTCATGTTGGGGTATTTTCTTTTACACCCTACATCCTGATACCAACCCCAAACATTCTTTCCTCAGAGTTCCATATATAAAAATGCCTTTCCATAGCTTTGGCTTCCTGCTCATTTCAAGAGAAACTTTTTGAAAGATGTCTTAACTAGACTCCAAATGAGAATTTCCCAGCTGAGTGCAATAATATTATAAGCTATAAGAGATATATTATTGTCTTATGACAATACTTTCTGGGAGTGGTTTGTTATTCAGCAGTAGGTTATAAAACAGAAATTGATACCTGTATGTGAGGTGTTTTGTAACAGAAATCTAAAAAGTGAGGACAAAAAGAGGGAGTGTATGGAAATCGCAGATGATATGATCATAAATTCTTAACTGGGCAGGTCATGAGTAATCACACCTCATGCATATAACTTTAAAAAAAAATTGTATTTATTTATTTATTTTTAGACAGAGGGGAGGGAGAAAGAGAGGGAGAGGAACATTAATGTGTGGTTGCCTCACCCCCATCCCATGTGCCCTGACTGGGAATCAAACCAGAGACCCTTTGGTTCGCAGGCTGGGGCTCAGTCCACTGAGCCACACCAGCCAGGGTTCAGACATACAACTTTTTAGTAAAAGGTTCATCTTCGCCTTACACAAGCCCTGCCCATTGTTTGTGTTCCTCTAGATTAACACATCTTTGAAATCAGGCAAACCATCCTCAAGAAAGCATATAATCCTGTTAACTATCCTGAAATGTTTTTTCTGACCCACATGTTATCTTCCTAGTTACCTTCTTAATTTCAAATGCATAAAAGAAACTGAAAAACTGTTATTCTCCAGAGCATTTGAGATCTTGCTTTCCAACCATATGTCATCAGTTTCATGCAAACAAGCTCATAAAATTTCTCTATAGATTTGAACATTCTTACGTTGACATACATAATGTTAACTTTGAAGTGAAGAGAAGCTTGACAAACCATGAGGAAACTTCTGAAACTCTTAAAGATCACTGAGGAAGTGATTATTGGAGACTGAATCAAAGAGGGTATGAGTTATATATTGCAGAACAATTAGCGACACCAAACCCTGAGTAAGAATGGAAAATAGAGTACTGAACAAACATGTGGCTTTGCTAAGGATATTTTAAGGCAGGATGTTGAAAATGATAACCAACTTCTTCTAGTGTCTATAATAATAATAATAATAAAAGAAGAATAAAGAGTTGCACCAAAGAAAGGACTGCTGAGATTTTAATTAGAATTTAGTGGAAATTAAGTTTAGTGGACAGTCTTTTTGTTAGCAAAAAGTTCTCAAAGTAAGACATGACCTTAGAAAAAAGATCACATCCATGACACTACCAGCAAAACATGGTGTCAGGGTAAAGATGAAATCAAGAATGTGGCCATAAGAAAGATTATGGGCACCTCAGAAAGATTAAAATGTGTACCTCATAGACCTCATAGGTAGACAAAAGGCTTTTAATTATATTAAGAGAATATCTCTCAGACCTTACTTGTTACACAAAAAGTCTCTGAACATCTCAAAGACATCATCTCAAAGCACCCTGATGCTCATTCCAAAGGAGAATGTGGCTAATCCTGGAAATATTTATGGGTGTGGTTTTTGTCTCATAGAGGAAGCACCAATAATATTCACAGGAGACCTGTACTGTTTTTAAGAGCATTGTGTTGAGTGGAAAAACCCAAACAAGCAAATGGAAAAGCAACCACCCACCTACTTGTACTTAAAAGTTGCTAAAATACAGAAATAGAGTTGAATTTCATGTATTGACCTCATAATCCTGCAACCATACTCAATTTATGTATTTATTCTAATTGTTTTTACATTCTTTGGAATTTTCTATGTTGTCAACATAAGAAATGTCTAAAAATTTCAGAGACTTTTTATATTTATTTGAGTCAAACAAAGGATACACTTGGAAACAAGATCTCAACAGACTATTATAAATATTTCTGACAACAGCAGTTTCTTTTATGCATTTGAAATTAAGGAGGGAGAAAGCAACAAGATAGTTAAGATTATGTGAGTGAATAAAATAGCTGTGGTACATTTATAGAGTGCAATACTACTCAGCTCGAAAAAAGAATCTTAGCTTTTGCAACAGCATGGATGAGCCTGGAGAATATTATGCTATGTGAAATAAGCCAGTCAGAGACGGACAAATACATTTGATCTCACTTATATGTGGAACCTAATGAACAGAATAAACTAACAAACTGTAGACAGACTCCTGGATACAGAGAGCAGGCTGACAGCTGTCAGGAGAGAGGGAGGTGGGGGCTGGGTGAGATGTGTTAAGGGATTAAACAAACAAACAAAAAAAGAGATTTAAGGACACTGACAACACTATGGCGTTTGCCAGAGGGAAGAGGGGTTGGGAGAGAGAGAAGAGAGTAAAAGGGGCATAAATGGTGATGGAAGGCGACTCATCTAGGGTTGGTAAACACAGAACACAACATACAAATGATGTATTATAGAATTGTATACCTGAAACCTACAAAATTTTGTGAACCAATTCACTCCTATAAATTCAATTAAAAATAAAAATAATAAAAATAAAAACATAATCTCAAAAAAATATCGATGTGCTCTCTTGGAGCTGGTCACATAGAGATTGGATTACAGGGTAGTTAAGATAATGTGTTCCCTTTCGGGTGGTTACAGTTTATTTCAAGAGTGTGTTAACGTAGATGCACAGAAACAATGGACAGGGCTTGCTTAAGACAAAGATAAACATTTTACTAAAAAGTTATAAGCCCGGTGACTACCCACCATAATCTGTCTAGTTAAGATTGATGGTCAGATCACCCTGTGAGATTACTTCCCATAGAGCCTCTGTTTTGTCCAAAATGTGTAGATAATCATTCTACATTTCATTTCTGTCACTATTATGTATGTCTTTCTTCCTTTGTTATATCTTACACAGCAGACTTCTACTTTTTTGTGCTCATTTAAAATGCTGATCATTTCTTGGCTGGTATACTTTTTTTTTTTTTAATGGCTAGACAGCAAACAAAAAAGACTCAACTGTGGTTCACTGAAGTAACCAAGCACTTCATTGCCATTTCTAATTGAATCTGGAAGATAATAATATTAGTGACAAACTAAGAATGACTCAGAGTATGTCAAAGCTTTGTATGTCTCTTTTCTGACTTGGGTTTCCTGATAACTCCGGTTGTCCTTTGTTGCCTGTAAGGTTTATATTAGTCACAGATTTATCTGCTAATTCCTAGAAGATCTTTTTCCTCATTCTATTGCTCTCCTCTTCCCAAAATACAATACTATCTACTTCCTCTATCATGTGTTAATATTAACAAGTAGTTCAATTTTCCCAATCATTTCCACAGTGATGTAATCTATTATAGCTGCTAAAAATCTTTCCTTATTTAGGCCAAAGGATTTGCTTAACGTTAGTTCCCTAAATGATTTTATTTCAATAGCTTGAAAGCTTTGCATATAAGCTATTTTGAGTAACAAGTATAGGAAATATTTTGTAATGTGTGTTATCAGTGAAATTCAGGCAACGTCATTTTCACAGTAAACTTTGGCTTGGTTACAGTTTAAAAATTACTCTCGTGGAAATTGCAAAAGGTATATATATATATATATATATGTATATGTTCCTCTAGTTGGAATACCACCTCAGTATTCTAAGATTCCATTGTTACTGAGCTAGGACCACACTTGCTCTCTGCCTTGTATATTAGTGTTTAGTAAATAATTTTTGATTGATTTGAAGAAAGATGTCATCCCAGAACCAGTCAAGTGTTCTTCATGAATTCAAGGGGATCCTCTTTTCTACTAAGTCTTCTGAAGAACTTCTAAGTTCCCTGGATTCTTTCAATGCAAGAGAAGATGATGTGTTTCTGGTTTCCTATCCAAAATCTGGTAAAATTTATTTTAATGTATTTTGTAAATTTTGTAGGAATATAATAACAATAATAATAAATATAATAATAATTTTACAAAACATTTGTTTTTCAGAATTTTCCACAGGAAATTAAAGTATCCTAACTGCTTATTCTAATGAAAAAGTTTGACAGTAGAGAAGCAAAAATCGTGTTTTGAAAAAATTGAACTGGAGAAATTAGAGCTTTACTACACTTTTGTTTCTATTTTATTGGTGAAGACATAGAAATGTTGACTGATATATATAATGTATATCTAATACATACTAAGCATAATATCTCTAACATTATAAAATTTTCTTTGTACTTTGTCCAGGCATGGGGGTGGTGATAAATAGTGTTTGTTCTATTTATAATCAATAATTGATTTATAAATAAATAATTTATTTCTTCTGAGCTAATAAGAACCAAAAATACTTTTTTATTATAGGTTATTCTTTATTATTTAAATTAATAATACATACTTTTTTATTCTTAGAAGTGACCAGGAATATAACATCCAACTACCCGTTACTATGTCCCGAATAGCGGATGTGTGTGAATAAGCACATCCCTGCTATCCTGGATTTAGCCACTAAGGGTCAAGCTCCCTTTAATTGTATGTGTACTGTAGTCCCCTCTTTGGATAGTAAGTCAGGCCTGAGAAACTCTTCCTCTGAGTGATGCAGAGTTCACACAAGGCCTGGTTTCCCAGGGTGTTTTTAAGAATAAATAAAAAACATATATGTATCTCTTTTACTGAAAAATATTGCCAAAAATGAAAATTACATGATTGCCTCCAAAATACCACAGTATTCTTGCTATGCAGGAGGCTGCTGTGTGAATAAAAATACCTTATCTTAAATTGATATGTTAATTTAGAAAGTAATTAATGATACTTTTAAGGTTCTTTGAACAGGTGGCTAATTTATACCATATATAAACAACCATATATAAGGTTGCCACTGTACCTATTGGTGCCTATAAGTTGACATCTTTCCACCAGCTGCTGGTATGTCTCCTTCAGCAGCACAAAACTGTATTTTCTCTCTTTCCTCAGAAACAGTCCATGTATTTTGTTAAAATAACCTAACTATCACTATTATATGAGTCATGTTTATATGAATATCATAATTATAAATATTTAAGATAGTAACATCCTAGCCTAAAATAGTTTTAAATTTAAAACATATAATGCAAACAAGAGCACTGTTTAAACTATGAGTATTTATTTGAATGTAAAATTATAATTGCAATGAGACAAATGGAAGCTAAAGCCGATTTAAATTCTTCAGGGACATTGCTTTTGAATTAACAAAGCATCATCCCCACCAAAATTTCTGCTCCCCTACTTCCATTTATTAGTGTCTACAACATTGGAGCACATCCGCATTTGCTCTACATAAACATAAAGTGGTATTCCTTCCAGACTTTGAGGTAACAGGCTTGCATCTCTATGATGGCTGAATAAACCATTGGTTAATTGTTCTAATGTTTTGTTTGCACAACTTCTCTGTATTTACACACAAACAAAAAATAAGTTTTAATGTCATCTTCAGAGGGGAACTGGGGAGATAGACATAAATAAGCAATGGCAAGTACACTCTGGTATGTGTTACTTTGGAGGGACCTGAAAGGTGAGCAATTATACCAGAGGAATAGGGACTCAGAAGAGCAAGATGATGAGCTTGCAGGCCGAATAGGAATTATGTATGAAAAAGTTTTTGTATTTCTGAATTGGAGAAGGTGCTAGAGGTGAGTGATAGCACAGAAGAGTATTTCACGCTGAGGAAAAGAGCATATACAGTTCTCACTTCTCTTCACACTTTTATTCCTGTGTAATAAACTAATATTTTAAGAGTTTCAACAGGTTCCAATAGGTGTCAAGAGGTAAAACTATTTATAATAAAATCAATCCACTCACTGCTTATAACCTAATGCTAATTTTCTATATTCATTCATTAAAAGTGCCATTTAATTAAAAATGAATTTCATTTTATTTCTGTGTGAAGGCACTCATTGGATTGCAAAGGTCATTGAGAACATTCCCAACGCTGGAATTACTCTAACATCTCCAATTGAATTGGGAGACATTTCTAAATTTGAAGAGCTAAAAACGTGTTGTAAGAGAAGAGTTATTCCAACACATTTGAGCTATAACATGCTACCAATGGATATTAAACAAAAGCAATGCAAGGTAAGTTTAATGGTGAAGGGTGGAAGTTTGGGAATACCACAAAACCAAACTTGGATTCTTGCTCTGCCACTTGCAAAATGTGTGACCTTGGAAAATTGCTGATGATCTCTGAGCTTTGCTTTCCTCATTTGATACAGGGATAATGGTATCAATCTCATACCTATGGTAAAGATTAAACAAGACAATACATGTGTCAGTGTGACCCTGGTATCTAGCTCATAAAAACTTGAATAATATTTCAGCAAAGAAAGAAATGTGGACTATACAGTAGACAATGTCTTATTCTATTTTGAATCTGGTTTTAATCTTTTTAGTTTAAATATTGATGTCTAGAGAAAGAAAAATTGCCTTAGTATTATTTTAATTATTTTACCTATCATTTTTACAAGAGATTATATAGGAAAGGAATAAAAAAATATTGTACATAAAATGCTAAAAAATAGTTACCTCAAGCTATTTTTAAAATAAACTACCACATTATTAATATTTTAAAAGTTAACCATAATTTAAAAGAATATTTTATATTTTCATATATTTTATATTCAAATTTATGTTTTCTTGGAGAAATGCTTACTGAATAAGGTCAAGTAGAAAGTATGTTTTGAATACATATACACTGAATAATCTCAGTTTAATTATAATATACATACACACACACATAGAAAAAAAGTCCAGGTGTAAATACAATATGCTGACAATATGGCTTTCTATGGTACGACGTTAGAGTTGGATTTTATTTTCTTTGCAAATGTCGTATAAGGAGCACTTCAAAAATTCTGTTTTGATCAGAAAAAAACAAAACATTTGAAAAACAAAGGTGAGATACCCATGTTTGTTTTAACAAGTTCCCAGTAATGAAGCCGCTTTAAAAAATGTCAGCCATATTTCAAAATTAATAAAAATGACCTACCAGTCAATGTGCGTAAATCAAAGCAGATCTTCCTATGACTACAATTCTATAACCACCATGCCTCTATGCATGCCATCTATTCTTCTGCCCAAAGAAAAGTAAACACAATCAACCAGAGGTAAATGTCAGAGTTTTGCCTTTATTCCCAGAAAATCTATCAGGACAGACGAAGATGTACTATTTGATTACACTTTCACTCAAGCAAGCATGTTCATTTCAGACTGTTTCTAAGACAGAGAGAGAGTTCTGGGGAGAAAAGGAGTCTGGTGAGCTCAGAAACCCTCACTCAGGGCAATGCAGTAACATTGAAAACAAATGGCTCTCAGAGGTTGAACTGTGTTTTATAAACACACTACAAAAATGAGAGGAGTGGGTATTTTTCTTTTCAGAAACAAAGAAACCTAAGCTCGTAATGGCTCGGGGGCTTCTTTAAACTACGTACCACACTACAGGTACAGCCTTAAGGTACAAGCCTCTTAGGGTGACCTCTAATGGGGACTGAGACTCTGCTTGGCGCTGGTCTCCCAAAAGGATGAGCCATCCTCTGTTGCTGATGGCCTAGCCCTAAGGGCTTGGGGCTGGACAAGCCTTGAATTTTTTAAAATTAATTTTAAAGAGAGACCCAGGGTAAGGCAGTGAATTTTAAAACTGTGCTCTTTGAGCCTTGGGGTTTAGAAAGCCTAGAGCAGTTAGAAAAAGCCTGCCATGTTGAGTTGCTCCACGATAGCCTATTGGGCCACAAAAGAGGATAATGGTGGGGGGTGGTGTTAAGGTGGCTCTTCATTCTTGTTCACATCCTTCAGCAACGGAGGAGCAGGTGCTGTTTGTGTGGGTCAAGTATAAGACCTGTGCTATGAACGCACTACAGAGAGATACTTAGGTATTAAAATGACTCAATAAACACCTTTTTCCTAAGGAAAATGTGTCCACCCTGATTGCCAGTTGAAAATCAAGTAGAACATCTGGTTCTCATGCAGTGTTGACCATGACTGAATAATTGTCCTTTCATATCTAGCTTATCACACTGGTTTCCTATGATTTCTTATACGCTCCTACTGCACTCTACACTTAGTATCAGAACCCTCAGAACACTGTGTTGTCAAGAGTGTTCCCTGCCTGACTGAAAGTTTTGAGGGGACTAGAATCATTTCTGCCTTGATCATCATTATATTCCTTGGGCCTGGAATGTTATACACTGCCTGGTATACAGTAGCTATTATATTAATATTCATTGCATTGAATTAAATTGCAGTTGCAGTGTTTATGTAAATCTGTAGGGTATCTCAGATGTCCTCCACTTTGGAGGATTAAATTGTAGAAAAAGGAAATTCCAAAGCATCACTCTTCCTATAAATAAGAATAAACAATTTGTAAGAAGTTGTACTGTATGTGAATCATGTTTTATAACAAATGGATATTTAAAAAGTAATCTCATTCTATAAATGAATAGGGGTTTCTCAAGTCTACCCCTAAGAAGATAGGACCAAATTTAACACATAAACTGAAAAAGTATGGTTAATGAGCTGGCAGCAAGCAGCAACATGTCCTGGGAACTTGTTGGAGGTTTATCCCAAACCTCCTGATTCAGAATCTGCATTTTCACAAGATTCCCTGACAGTTCATATGCACATAGTGTCTTGAAGTAAGGGCTTACACCTGTGTTTAATAATTAGCTGAAGCTGCCAAAAAATCATGACTGGTGCAGGTAAGTTTAGTTACAACTTTTTTTCTTTTACTATTTTTATTTACATTTTTTAAAATTACAGTTAACATTCAATAATACTTTGTATTATTTTTTGGTGTACAGCATAGTGGTTAGACAGTCTATACTTTACAAAGTGTTTTCCCCAATATTTCTAGTTCCGGCTTCTACCTTCTTTTAGGAAATGTTTTGTGTTGTGGCTATTTCTACACCAAAATAAACTGATTTCTTTTTAAACAGATTATCTACATCATCAGGAATCCAAAAGACACAGCTGTTTCTTTATTCCACTACTACAGAGATAACCCTAATCTCCCTGACATTGAAACCTGGGCTGCATTTTTAGAGCTATTCCTAAAAGGAAATGGTAAATATAACAATGATTTTTATTCATAATGTACAGTGAAACTTTATGCTCAAAATGAAAGCATTTCCAAAAGTTTAAATAGATCCCAATGCTGCTTTCAGAAGTACATCCTTCGATAGATTATTCCTTTACTTCTAAACAATTCTTTCTCAACGTGCTTCTTCACAATCTTTCTTATCACCCATGGGCAGTACATATTAGCAAGTTCTTATTAAGCTTAATGCTGATCAAGCATCTATGTTTTTCATATACCAGCAATCTTTTCAGTGAAATAATTATGCACTAATTGGAGTACAGTAAGATATGGCTGAAACCTAGAGAGGTAGCCTGAAACATGCCTTTTATATACCTGCATGGAAAATAAAACAAAGAATCAACACACACACATACACACACACACACACACACACACACACACACGAAAAACCCCTCAAATCCCCCAAATAAAACCAATATGAAAGAATTAATCATTCTCCCTGGTACATGGTTTTATAAAAACTAATAGAAAGTAATTTATCCTGAAAATACCACAATGAGACATCATTTGATTGAGCTGTGTAGCATATGTTGGTCCTGCTACCATGCATGACCTTTGAATTTGTTCACATTTTTTATACCTCAGTGGTGTCTGGAGCACTTTAAAAAAAAACCCCCACAAAACCCTTCTAAATTCCCAAGGTGTAAAAAACAAAAATAATATACAAAGACAACACTGAATTTAAAAGAGATATGATTTAGAAATGGTGTGTACCCAGAAGATTTTCTCTCTAACTGGGCTTGAAGTAGATCTTAACTGCTGTTCAATGTTTTACATGTAAATTATTATGCTGTTGCTTGTTAATTTAAGAGAGGCCACAGCAAGTATAACCTTAACATGAAGACATTGGGAAGTCACCAGCAACAAGATTTAATACTTTGTTGGGCTATATTCCCTTTGGAAGAATATGCTTTTCTCATACTATTTCAACTCCTCTATTTCCTTACTTAATGGCACACATTTAGTAGATTCATAAAGTTCCAGGAGTGACAGGTGTACTAAAGGTCATCTGTTTAAACACTCACCTGATGATTCAATCACTTTTACAACATCTCCAAGATTTGTAGATGCTAAGCTTGAACTTGTTAACCTTGACAACAGGTTCACACTCCACACTCCTGCTCTGAAAGAATAACATTTCATCTTGGAACTTCTAAATGTAAAAAATAAAATCTCTTACCATGTCACACAGACACTTAGCTAAGTGCTATGCAAAAATGATCTCTTTTCATCCTCACTAGACCACATGAGGTAGATGTTATTATCATCGTTTTACAAGTGATAGAAGTACTGACCTCAGGAGGCCAAATAACTTGTCCATAGAGGCGTGACTAATAAGGAGCAGAGCCAAAATTTAAATTCAGGTGTTGACTCCAAAAATATGTGCTCTTACACTGTGCCATAACTTGTCCAGCAAAAAATTGTGCCCTGATCATTAATTCCTCTTCCACATGTTAGCCTTCTAAATATTTGAAGATAGTTAGCATGCCTCACTCTGCCTCAATTCCATTTTTGGAATAAGCAGAGTATAAATACATAAATTACATTTTTTAAAGCAGATCTTGGGCCTGCTTTTTCTCAAGGAAAAAGAAGTTGCATTTGTCCCCTATTATTACGCACTGTGGTTTACCATCCCTCCCTCGGCACCGCGGGAGCTCAGGTTTGGCCATGTTTCTATAAATTTACAACGCCCTGAAGACCAAGCTGCATATGGTCTGACTGATTCTGTTCGAGAGATTCTCTTTCTATGAAAGTAGCCCCAGAAAGGCCGACCCAGGCCATACCCAGGGAAGCAAACTAGAGTCACCAAGCATTTACTGTTGTTATCATAGTACCAGGAGTTGCAGCAGAGTATCTGGGAAGGGCAGAGTGCAGTTGGAAAAAAACGTTTCAGGTGATTCTTTCATACCTTCTTAGGTGAGTTAATGGATTTTTAGTTGTAAAGAGATTTGACTCGAAAGTATTCTACAACTGGGTAATCCAGCCTGGGCAAACCCTGTAGGCACTGGGAACAGTTACTGAATTACTAAAGCTTTTTAAAAATTTACTCAGGTGAGAACAGTTGCTTTACATTTTACTGCTTATGAGAGAGGGTTGTTCGTTTTATTATGCATGCGTGTGTATGTGTGTGTGTATGTGTGTGTTTTGTATATGACTGTGTTTCAGGGGTATTCTTCAATGACTTTTGAGGAGAGGGTTATTTCTCTTGCAAATGACAACATGATAAAGTAGAAAAAACAGGTTATAAGGGCAGAAGGCCTGGGATCAAGACCTGACAATAATTTATTCTCTGTGTGATTTTGGACAATAGCTTAACAATTCTAAGGTTCAGACTCCTAATATAAAATAGAACTAATAAAATCAAATATTTTGTAGGATTATTTAGAGGTTCAAATTAAGTAATGATTAAAATTTGCTGTGAAAATCTACTGACTTATTCTATTAGACATGACTTTTAAAGACACACAGACTTTTAAATAATTTCTCATTAAGGTGGAAATGTTACAAGTAGATATTTATCTAGAAAGATTATTTTACAAGTGAGGCATCATGATATCTAAAACCTATCTTCAAAATATAGACATAATTACACATTATATGACACAACACTACAATAAAGATAAAAATAGTGATATTTATTTAATCATCTAATTTATCTTTCAGACAGTTTACAAATATACTTTAGGTTTTTAAATGAAACAGTAACTATAAATTGTATTCTGGCAATATCCTAGAAGATTAATATTTCAATGAAACAGTATCTTCGCATTATACTTTTAATTCCCTATAGCCGGCCCTTCTCCAGTTTTATATTAAAACTATTTCCTAGGCCACTTCATCCCAGTGAGTTTTGTTTTTCTGCATGATTATCTATCATCAGGATGCTTTCTAGAGACTAGACACTAAGATGTTTACTGTAATTGAATATAAGAGTGGGGTAGAGGGTTTGCAGAAAGTATAGGGGTTTTGAAACAGCTAAAGAATAGGATAATGTGTTAATGCAGGACAAATTGGTTTGCTAGGCAGCCTCGAGGCCCTTGAGGCTGGAAAAATGAATTTGCAGTGGTGTAAATACAGAGTGGTATGAACTTCTTCAGCAGAACTCAGCAGCAGTAGATGAGATAGAAAGAAGGTGAAGTGTTTTGATCCAATACTGAGTGTTTGGGTGGAGGGTGATTCAGATAAACTGTAGGGGGACAAGGAAGGTATTGGTAAAAAAAAAAAAAAAAAAATCCTCAAGGGAATGTACAAAGGAAGAAAGTAAGGATGGAAAGGGACAAAAGTAGTCAAAGATATTGGGGAAATATCCATTAAAGTTACTACAGCTGGTAGCAAGACCTGAGACGACACAGAAGATTGTAATCGAAAATCAGAGTCTTCAGTGACTGTAGGGGAGAGATCAGAAGGTCAATTTCTGACTGAAACCAGGATGGAAAGAGTGGCATAGTCAAAGGACATGTTAAAGAAGCTTGGATGGTCTAGGAGGGAGGCGTTCTAGGAGGGAAAGCTGAGGTTGCTGACTTGCTCTTCCTAAGATACAGGAGTTGGCTGAGAAAGAGCAACTTGTATTCAAGGCCGTCTCAGGGGAAAGAGTAACTTTTGGAAAGCAGGAGGGCCATCCAATCATACCTTAATTAAGGCCAGGACGTGGCGGAATAATTTTGTAATTCAGTGAAGGATATGCAGAAAAACATTTCTCCTAAAAACAAGATTTCAAATCTCTATTTTGGAAACTATACTTTTTTTCAAAGCCGTAGGTCTACTGATGACCTGGAAAATGAGAATTCTGATTAAAAAAAATTAACCCTAACTGTAATTTCCTACATTAGTGAGAAAGGCACAGGCAGCCGATGTCTTTATATTCTTTTGGCTAGCTTGAGTCCTTTTGGAACAAGGTATAGTATAAATTAGTTAGTAATAGGACAGCTGGCTATCAAATTTTGATCAGGCAAGGAACCAAAAATTTATTCTTAAATCTGTTTTGGATATGTTGGAATATATTTTCTATTCAATAACCATAATGGGCAAGGTCAATTACAGTACTTGGCCCACCCCCCGACCCTGCCCACTAAGTGTGGCTCTGGGTCTCTATCCCGATCTAACTTTTGTCCAGAGAAGCACGGGCTGCCCCTCCCCCTACACACACAGTATTGAGGGCTCGCATTATCGGTAACTCCAGGCAGTGCGTTACCCAGGAGGGCTGGGCTGTGACTGCTAATGGGATTTGGAGAGGTAGGTGGAGACTGTGAGGTAGTCTGGAGAACTGGAGACTAGTTAACTTCCTAAATTTATGTGAGAGAAAAAAATCTGTCTTCTTCCTACCCTGTGTTTGTGCCTGGGAGAACATTGGCCATTCTTAGGAGATAAACCCTTGTCATTGAGATAAGGTAATTCAGGTAATTCTAAGCCAGTATTATGTAAGGCACTGAAGCAGTGAGATTGCTGGTAACTGAAAACTTGATCTGCACGGTTCTAAGAACCAGTTATTGCACAGCCTTTTGGGTCCAAGGAGTAGTAGAAAATTGGGCTGACTTTAACGATACCACAGTAGTCCCAGAAATTCTTGTTTCAAAAATGTTAGTTATTTTCTTGCTTTTTGCTTCCTCAGGAGCCAAAGCCATGAAAAATTGCAATTCGTTGGAAGTTAATTATACTTGAATTTATTAAAGGTTTTAATGTTCAAAATGTATATAGCACAATACCTGGCTTTTAATATATGTTTATTAAATGAAACAACAGTCAGCAGATCTTTAGGAAATCGCTTATAGAGTAGCTCTTGTATGACTTGGGAACTAACTAGTATTAAATCTTTGATAAAGTTCATGGAAAGATGTATATATAGTATTTTAAATTTTCATTTTATGCTTTATTTTGTCAAGCTAGTCAGCTTTTTGTGTGTTTAATCATCACTGCTATAGAGGTTACTTTATGTGATATTTCACTTTTAAGCCCTGGAGATTTTTAAGTCTGTCAAATTAACAAAACATTAAAGAGACAATATCAACTACTGGTAAATCCCTAAGCCTGTATTTCTCAACCTTGAACTAACATACTTGAATAGAATTCTTTGTTGTGGTGGTGGAGGTAGGGAGTTTATGAAATTTTTATGCTATGAACTTATAATTATGTAAAGCATGTCATGTTACAGAAAGAAAATCACAAATTCTCAATGTTTCTCTATTTCTCCCAAGATCCAAAGCAGTTATCAAAGCACAAATTGGACAAATGTTTATCACTGTATTTCTGTTGTCAATTTTCTTGATGATAAAAGCATTTACTAAAAATAAGAAAAAAAATCCACACAGCTCTATTAAAAGATATCACTATCCAGTTTCATTTCACAATATTGTAATTAATTGAAACAATAGTGAAATTGAGCTCTTCTAAGGAAAACTTTTTCATTCCAGAGTCTAATATGTGTATGCCTTGCTTTGACAACTTTGCTGAAGTGGGAAGAACCCAAAACCCAAAGCCATAATGTTTAAATATTAACATAACAATTCACTTTTCTTCTAGTTGTGTATGGATCCTGGTTTGATCATGTTTTAAGCTGGGAAGACCACAAAAATAATAAAAACATTCTATTTATATTCTATGAAGAAATGAAGAAAGTAAGTTTTTCCTAACATTTCAACAATCAAAATTTAAGTCACAGTATGTTAATACAGCAAGTCAATCAATGAATCCTGTTTTTTGGGTTTCAGGGAATAAACTTAGTATTTTGATGAGTAACACTTTTTTAATTTGCTTATTGTTTAGGATCTTTCTAAAAGCATAAAGAAAATAACTACTTTCCTTGGCATGAATGTGAGTGAAGGTGAAATTAATCAGATTGCTGGGAATTCATCATTCAGGGAAATGAAAAATAATGCAGCCAAAGAAAACTGTGATCCAGAAAAGACCATCTGTGCACTCACATCTAATAGGAGCCTGGTATTTAGGAAAGGTAAGCCAGAAAAGGAGGCGGTGCTTTGCCTGGGGCTCATATTTGGAAGTAGTCCTATTTTATCTTTTTAACCCTTATTTCATCATAGTGCACCCCATCTTGCACAACAGATGACATCAGTGAATGTTTATTAAATGAAATTTTTGAATTTCATTCTTTCCAGATTTGAGATTTCCATGCTCAGTTAGGAACCAATTGAGAGAAAAACACAGATGTCAAACAGATAGAAGTGATAAAATTACTTGAAGAATGTGTCTCAGGTCTGCAGACCAGTGTGTTTGCTAATAAGTGACCCTGCATTGTATAAGCTACTCTTAATCACAGTCAATCAGGTACAGTCCTGTCCCGCTGCTGGAGCAGATCCTGTTTTTTTCAGGAGAGAGTAAGGAACTGATAAGTGTGGACAGTGCACTTTACTAAAATCACCAATCAAATAACTTGCTCTGCAGAAGTCGGGGTGGAGAGAGAGCTGGGAATGTTATCTAAGGAAGTTCATCAGCATGAGAACACAGAGAGAAGGAAACAGATCTCCAATAATTCTTAACTTGTAACTTAGAAGGAGGTTGGGTAGTAAAATCTAACAGCAAGAAGAAAAGCTCAGAACCAGCACGGAATTGGACGGTATTTTATTATTTATTTTATTTTATTTATCTTATTTTATTTTTTTAATTGTTTAAATTCATTTTAGAGAGAGAAAGAAACGAGAACAGAGACATCAATTTGTTTTTCCACTGATTTTTGCATTCATTGGTTGATTCTTGTATGTGCCTTGACCAGGGATGGAACGTACAACCTTGGTGTATTAGGGTGACGCTCTAACCAACTGAGAAATCTGGCCAGGGCCTCAGTGGTATTTTCTAGGAAGAACTGGTAGTCTCTCATGTGCTAGAATGGTATGATGTGCGAAGCAGAATGAAAGAGATTAAGATATTGGGGCCAGATAGCAAAAGCTTTGATGGACATCATACAGAGGCCTTCTTTTTCCCCCTGGTCTGTTGGCACTTTTAAAAAGGGATCTGACATAGTCAGACGTGTGGAAAATTTATTAGAAGGGGATAAAAGCAGAGGCAGAAAGTCCAGCAAAGAGGTTCTTGTAGTAGTCCAGTTACGAAACAGTAATGATTATAATTTGGGCAGTGGCAGTAAGTCACTGTTGGGTGCAGCTCAGCTGAAAAGTCAATGAACCATCAGTAAATTGTAGAATTTGGTAAAGTTGTTCAGGGCAGGTGAGAAGGGCTTCTGGAGAAAGGGACAGAAGGGGGAACCCCAAGGGCCCTGACATCAATGGGAATGAAACAGCCCTTAGAGAAGCCAAGCAAAAAGATCAGCCAGAATGGGGAAGAAAGCCAGGTCGAAGATGACCATTTATTTATCATTCTTATATTCTGAAAGTGCAGATGGAAGGCAGATTGAGGGTTTGAAGAGATGAGATGTAAAGAAAGGAGCAGCAAAATGAACACTCTTCTAAGATGTTTGATAGTAGAGGATGGGACCCATATGATATGGGAGTTGGAGAGAGGGATCGGATCAAGAAAAAATTAGGAGAGGTGGGAGAGAGAAGATAAAGGGAAGACAGACAGAATTTAGAAGAGGATGCATGAAGGAAGGTAAAATGAACAAAAGGGTAAGAAACAGAAAGAGATTAGGATAGGCTGTGGTAAAGAGGATGATGAGAAATGAAGTTCTGATGGTTACCAGAATCTAGGGCTATCATTGACATCATTTATCACTGTCTTTTGACATCTAATTAGTAAATTCTCAGTATTCACGCATCTTATCTAACAAACTTGAGAAATTTTAGTATAAGGATCTCTGACGTGACATTGTGACCCTAATGAAAATTTCCAGGAGAAATCATATCAACATAGTTGTAGCCAATAACATTTATTCTAATGCATTTTCCCTTTATCTAAAAGTGGTTTCTTTATATTGTATCTAATGCAGCACAGAAAATTGACAGTAGAAACATCTTCATTAGTACTAGTCACCATGAGCACCAGCTGGTAAACTTGGACCCTGTGAAGAACTAAACACAAGGATGGGTCAATAGAGACCATTCACTTTATTTTTTTTAAATATTTTATTTATTTACTTGAGAGAGAGGAGAAGCAAAGGAAAAAGAGAGAGAGAGAGAGAGAAACATCAGTGTGCAAGAGATATATGATCAGCTGCTTCTCGCATGTCCCCATCTGGGGACCTACACAGGGCAACCCAGGCATGTGCCTGGACAGGGAATCGAACTGGCAACCTTTCACTTTGCAGGCCAGAGCTCAATCCACTGAGCCACACCAGCCAGGGCAAGAGATTGTTCACTTTAGCCCTTTTGTTTGGTGGGCAGTGTTGGAGTAGGGGGATCCATCCTCTGAAAGTAAGAGTTTCAAAGAAACTACTGAAGACATTGATGCAGAATCCTTGGCACACAGAGATATTCTTCATAGTGGGGGATTTGTGCCTGCAGCTATCCTTACTTTAAACTCAGAATTAGAGCTGATATTCCAGACAATGACTATGGTGGTCAGGGAGATAAGGTGACAAGCAAGGATAGTCCACACAAGTGTTGGAAGTCCTAGGGCTTCTGACATACTAAAGTCTAGGGAGAAAATTATAGAAGTATGGAACGATGCACTTAAAATATCATTAAGCAGAAACTGTTAAACATATTAAGTCACATCCATACAGGGGTTTACTATGGAGTCATGAAAACTATAGAGTAAAAATAGCTAGCATTTACTGAGTGCTTTACTATGTGCCGGGGACCTTGCTTCATTTGTCTAGATTTTAACAGCAGGCTTTTGAAGATAATATTTATGTTATCCATATTTTACTGAGACACCAAGTGACTGATTAACTCATCCAAAGACACACAACTAGTAGCTGGTAGAGTCAAGGTTTGAATCCAAACCCTCCTACTCTACTCATCATAACTTTCATTGTTGGTCTATAAAAACTAATATGAGAAGATGATCAAACTGTAATAAGTGGGAAAAATTTGGTTATAATTGTGTGATTTAAAATGTAGTTTATATGCATTTATATGTTTGCAAAGAAGAACATCTGGGAAAATGCATACCAGCCAATTTGATAGCCATGTTACCCGAATACAAGTTCCTTGATATTTATCCTCATTGCTTATATGTATTTTTGCTAGCCTATATATATAGCTACTATTTTACTTTTAAAAAGATTTTTTTAAGTAAAAGAGTAAAAGATTAAATCATAAACCAAGAAAATAAAAGGTCAAAGAACAAAGACAGCAGGGGTCTAGATGGTTGATATCAGAAACTAGAAGGAAGAAAACAGGAAGAACCAAAGAATATTGAAACATCTTTTGCTTCAAGTGGGGTGTTTTAGAAGCAGTGCCATGCAAGAAACTGATAATATTTTTAACTCTTTGTTATCAATATTGTAAAATAAATTTCATGAAAATGAGACCAATTACCCACCTCCAGGATGTGTGATCAGCACAGCTCCAGCTCCGGAGGTACACACACAGGGAAGTAAATGAAGCGTCATTATGTCCACTTTATCTGCTTTATGTTTTGATTAGGTTTACGTGAGATACTTTTTGCTCATTATTGTAAAACCTAGGACATTTGTGTACTTTTAATCTTCCTTTCTTTTTAAGAAATGACTTTTTAAACTGTACAAGATGACAGGCAGCTATTACTAAAGAAATTAGAAACAACAAATAAACAAATGAAGAAAAGAATAACTCCCTTATCGTCTTATCACCAAGAGATGAAATTGTTCACATTTTATTATAAATCTGAGAGGTTTCCTTTGTGACTACTATATATTTAAATTGGTTCTTGTCTGATACATTTCCAATTTTTCCAGGAGCAGTGGGTGATTGGACAAACTACTTTACTTCAAAGCAGAAGAGAGTATTTGATGAACTGTTTGCAGAGAAAATGAAGCACAGTGAACTAGCAAGACACTTTGAAGATTACTCTTAATACAAATGGAAAATGAAACCAATTTCCATTTTATGCAATATAGTGTTTGTGGAATACATAAATATTTTTTACCAATGTGGAAAGCAGATATTTCTTTCAGTGAGAAATGGACACTTTATGAATGCATCAGAAGTCCCATATGTGAGAGACTATTATTATCATATTTGATGGTAGCAGGGAATTACTAATAAAAGGAAGTATACAATTTTTGAATAGCTGAATTATATATATATATGTTTTCAGGATACTTATAAGGCAAAGGGGTTGTTTCTATTCAGAGAGCATATTACTGTGGGTATCCTATACACTGCATGCACTAAGGTACAACAGAAGAGGTAAGGGATTATCTAAAATAATCAGTGTCTCAGAAGAATGTTTTTGCTGCCTTTTGGACTGTCATGACTTCTAGACAAATATTTTTATTTCAACATTCCCTAGTGTCCACGTAGAAATATTCTGTAGTGTCATAGAAATGACAAACATAATCTTACTAAGGTGCAAACACTTATAGGTAAATTATATCAGATGATCACAATCTGGTATTTTGGTAAAATGAAGAATGAAAAGACACCCTTTCACATTACATTAACAGCATGCTGGTAATTCCGGTATGTCCTTTATTTTAGAGTCATTTAAGTTACAAAATTTTTTATTTCCAGTTTCAAAAAGTGTAATTTTCCTGAAGTATTCATTATTTTAACAGTATTTTGAACATGTAATCTTTCTCCGAGTAGCATTTCTAGCATTAATATAATCTCTATAATTCTTTCTCACCCGTAATGACTATTATTTTGTAGCTTTAACCTAGAAGACATTGTAATGATATTTCAGTGAACTTATTTAAGGATTATTGCCTAAATAACAATATTGTCTGTGAATGTCTATGTCCTATTGTTTATATCTGTGCTATAGTATATAACTAAAACTAAGGGGAAATCAAAACTGTATATTTCATATGACTCTGAGCTATGAAACCAAAACAATGGTTTGAGTGAGTTAATTCAGCCAATACCAATGTATGGCGAATCTTATTTTTATTAACAAATCTGTTGGAGTTTCTTGTACCAAGTTTATCACAATTCAGTCAGTATTAGCTCTTCATGAATCTCTTATATATATGTATGTGTTTATATATATTTGTTACAAATAAAATATGTTTCCATTGACTTCATGCAATTCATGTGGTGTGGTTTTTTAGTGGTTTTTTTTTTTTGCAAAATTAATATACACAGAGATTTACTAAAATATCTCCCTTCCCCAAATAAGTGAGATTAACGAATATCAAGGCAACCAGGTGAGATCTTGGTCAAGTCCTCATTTCATGTCAGAGCTAAAATCACACTTTACCTTGCCTGGTGTTGATGTGCAGAGAATTAGAAGGCTGTCAGACTAAGGTCGTAAGGATCAGATACAACTGGCAAGTGAAGAAGACAGCGACTGTTGTGCTAAGAGCACCAAATCCTGCGAGGCTCTATCACCTTCTCACAAGATTAAAATGATCAATGAGATTAGCCCTGGCTGATGTGGCTCAGTGAATTGAGTGTTGTCTTGTGAACTGAAAGGTTACTGGTTCGATTCCCAGTTATGGCACATGCCTGGGTTGCAAGTGAGGTCCCCAGTGGCGGGGGTGGGGGTGCAATGGATTGATGTATCTCTTGCACATTGATGTTTCTCTCCCTCCCTTGCCCTCTCTCTAAAAGTAAATAAGTAAAATGTTTTTTTAAAAAGATTAAAATGATCATTGAGATCATGAGGGAGAAACTAGGACTTTATTTGATGGCATCATTGTATTTTAGACGTATAAGTTACTTTGGGGTCATTGCAATCCAGAGTTGATAGAAAATTGCCTAAGGTCAGTAATCTAAAAGTGTAACTAAAACCCTTAGTTCCCAGATTATTATCAGTCAGTCAAAAATATTGTATCTCTGTTCATAGCAACATTACACAATCCAAGAGGAGGAAATAACCTGTGTCCATGGATAGATTAATGGATAAACAAAATGAGGTATATACAAACAATGGAATATTATTCAGCCTTAAAAGGGAAGGAAATTCTGACACATGCTGCAACATGGATGAAACTTGAGGACGTTATGCTAAGTAAAGCCAATCACAAAAAGACAAATACAGTATGATCCCACTTCCATGAGGTATCCACAGGAGTAAAAGCCACAGAAACACAAAGTAGAACGGTAGTTGCCAGGAGCTGGGGTGACAGGGAAGTAAGGAGTTGTTTAATGAGTACCGGATTTCAGCTTTTCAAAATGAAGTTCTGGAGACTTGTTGCACAACAATGTGGATATACTTGATGCTACTGAACTGTACAATTAAAAATTAAAGATGGGCCCTGGCTGGTGTTGCTCAGTGGATTGAGCACTGGCCTGCGAACGAAAGGGTTGCTGGTTCAATTCCTAGTCAGGGCACATGCCTGGGTTGCGGTCCAGGTCCCCAGTAGGGCGCACATGAAAGGCAACCACACATGGATGTTTCCCTCTCTTTATCCCTCCTTTCCCCCTTTCTAGAAATGAATAAATAAAATCTTTTAAAAAAATTAAAGACAGTGAAAAAATACTTTTTAAACCTTTCCTATCTGTCAGCATTATTGTTGGTTGTAGAAACACATGAACTTGAAAGAATCCCATTTTTTAAGAAACATTTTAATGGGGATAAATATATAATTTTTAATAAAATTTTTAAAAAATATTTTACTTATTTATTTCCAGAGAGGGGGAAGTGAAGGAGGAGGAAAGGGAGAAAAACATCGATGTGTGGTTGCCTCTCACACATACCCTACCGGGGACCTGGCCTGCAACCTAGACATGTGCTCTGGCTGGGAATTGAAACAATGACCCTTTGGTTTGCAGGCCAGTGCTCAATCCACTGAGCCACACCAGCCAGGGTGAATAGAAAATTTTTAATAAAGGAAATATCTGAGATACGGCAGACACCAATACGTGCCATAAGGAAGATAACATAAGGTAATGTAGTAGACAGTGACTAATGAGCTGTCTTAGCTGGAATGTTCGGTCAAGGGCTCTGAGGAGGTGACATAGGAGTTCCAATGCAAATGGTGAACAGGGCTCCCTGTGCTTGGAGTCATGCCAAGGAGTTTGGATTTCACCTTGGCATTGGGGGCGGAGGGTGGGTTTTCCACAGGGGAGACATTCCGACAGACACTTCCACAAGATCACTCTGATCACCAGATGGAGGATGCACCCAATACAGGAAAGGGGTGTGAGGACTATACAAATCAGCTAAAGTCAAACAAAGCTACGTCAGGAGTCTGCTATGTGCTGCCTGCCACAGAACCCAGCTGATCTGAGATGCAAGCCAACCACAAAGAACCTCTAGACAAAGGAAATTCCTGCAAAGATTCATTAATAGATACTTACTCATATCTTATCATTTACCCATACTATAAAGGGAAAACAGACCACAAAATATACCTTGTAAAGGTTAAAGTTAATCCCAATTTTTTTCCCACTCTCTGTTTCCCCATACCAGCAATTTTCTGTAGAAACTGCAAACAAACCTCAACCTCTAGAAACGGTTGGGGCCTCACTTCCTTCTCTTGCAAAGAGAGTCTGCTACTCTGTCTATGGAGTAGTTTTTCTTGCTTGTCCTCTCCACTCAATAAAACCTGCTTTTACACTTTAACCCTTTGTTTGTCCTAAGTCTTGAATTCTTTTCTGTGTGAAGCTAAGAAGCCTCTTGGCTTGGGACTCGAGTCTCCCCTACGGACTTGCCCCTCTGACATGAGACCTAGGGGTCATGGGAGGGAACAGGGATAAGTGGCAGTTACAGTGGTGTGTGCATATGAGAGAGGCAGGGCACGTAGCAGTGGAAATCCTGAGACAAGGCCAATTTGGGGATATAATATGGATATCGAGCCAGCTAACCTATTAATATGGAGTGAGAGACAGAAAGGAGTAAATGAAGCCTAGATTTTTAGCTAATCAACTGACTATCTGAAGGTACCATTTACTTAGATGTGAAGACACGGTAGTAGAATGACTTTGGTGGTTGCGGTGAGGGTGGAGTGGGCTATGGATCAAGCACTTCTGCTATGGCCATGCTGTTTAACATGTCGATTTAGACACCAGGTTATTGGTTGGATGGAAGAATCTCTCTGCTGACTGCTGTGTTGTTCCCCGGGGCCCAGTGGGAGGGTTCAAGAAGCGGGGGAGGCGTGGACAATTGAGGCAGTTTAGATTTATAGCGCACTGTGGCAATGAGCATCATCATGACGATGGTGACTGCTGAGGATGTGCTGCTGACTGATTTCCTGGATATCCATGCCCACTTGGGTTTTCCCCTTTTCAAAGTTCAGTATCTCTCTGAACTCTGACCTGCCACACTGCTTTTTTTTCCCCTCACTTCCTTGAGGATGCAAAACAACTCACATGCATTTCCTCATCCAAATTGCCTCCCACTATTCCCTGATGATTCCCGTTACTTATTTTTCACTCTTCCTCTTTCATTTCTCTGCTCTACCCCCTCCTCTCTGTAGTCATTAAATAAGTAACTGCTAAATCCTAATGATTCTTTTAAGGTTTCATTAGGTGGTACTTTCTCACCTCGGGATATTTGTTTGTGCCTTAAAGGCATTTTACCACCAGCTCTCCAGTTCTCTGAACTCCCTGTCCCTTGTCCCATTATTATTTATTTCTTCCCCATTGGCTCTCCAATGGCCCTTCACTTATATTTTACTTCCCACACTTAACCATTCAGGCCTCATATTTTTATATAAATGTCTGTCTCCTGTTTCAGTGCACAAGGTTCTAACTCTTGGAGTCTATGACTTGTTCATTTTGTATCCTTCACCATGCCTAGCCCAGCACAGCACTCATGGTAGATGCTTTACAAATGTTGGCTATGAATTGAGTTCATGGATCAGTTTAATTCTACGTCTTCCAGAATGCTCAGTTCCAATATTTTAACCCACTTTGATACTAGTTTCATAATCTCCTAATCCTTCATCTCTGCATTAGTCAATTATT